CATTTGTTGCCTTAGTCATGCAAGCTTATGTTTATCAGAAACATACATTGTATTTTTTGACGCTGATGTTGCATTTTTACATAATAATATACGTATATTTCTGTTTCTATCTTCTCATCAAAAATTTTTTTAAAATTTTTTTTTACACTCATATTTGTATTTATGTATAATTTTTTTACACTCATATTCGCATTTATCTATAATTTTTTTTTACACTCATATTTGCTTTTATGCATAAATGCACTTCTTGCATTTTATGTATCTTCGATTTTTATTGTTTATGAGGTCTCTTTCCTCACCATTTCGGATTTTTGTAAAGTTCTGATTTTCATTTTTTTTCTTGTTTCTTAACAAACATTTGATAATAATTATTCGACAGTACTATACCTTTAAAAAAAATCGAAAATCAAAGCGTCAATTTATTACGCCAGGAGAAACAGCGATTGATAATTTTTAGGACTTCCACGTAATTTTTCGAAAAAATAAAAAGCAACATAATTATGCGGTTAATTTTGGATAAATTATTCAATACTGCACATTTGTCTATGTTTAGATTTTTATAATTAATTTTTATTATTGTTCAAACTGATTTAGAAGGCTTTTGGAAAATTTTCGTATCATAAATTGCGCAAAAGAAAAGTTATTTAGCTAAAAATCTAAAAGCAGACAAAAATATAATTTTTAATTATGTGTCGAAAAATGCTGACTGCAGAATTGTATTGATATAATTTTGTTAAAAAACAATAAAAAAATTATAATGCATGTTTTTTTTTATAGTTGATTTTTTCAGAAAGGGAAGATGATTCTTTAAGATTCTCTTAAATTCTTTCAAGAATAAAGGTATATGAAATTTATACAAAATGTCAGCACAGGCTATTTCAAAACGAATTGTCACTACTATAAGGGATAAGGGAAGATTTAATTTTTCAAATCAAACAATTTCACTATACAGAGCGCAAAAATAATAAACGGAACATCCTGAATAACTTTTGATGTAATGATCAGATCTTTACGTTTTAGGACTCAATCTTAATGATTTGAAAGGGTGACTTCTAATAGGCCAATTAATTAGTCCAGAAGACATTTTAAGTTATGAAATCAGACACAAAAACGTACTTTTTCTGAATGAACACGCCCTTTTTTCGACGTATTCGGATTTCTGACCCCTAAAATGTAGGGGTATCCACGAACTGGCAATATGGTCACAATAGTTTGGTCAGGTGAGCGGTCAAAAGTTTGAACCCTTAAATGCTAATCTTGCTTTTTGCGCATTTCACTCTATCTTGAGAGCTTGTGAATTGAAATTATTTGCACACATTTATAAATTTTGTTTATCCGAAGATAATTCTAATTATTTATTATTGCTTATTATATTATTTAATAATAGTAGAAGAACTTTTGAATTGCAAGGTATGAAATTTTTGTGTAATTTTAAAAAATGCAATTTTAAATGGCAAAATAAAAAATTTAGGTGAAATCGGTCGAATAGTTCCTGAGAAATCGAATTTTGAAAAAGTCGTATTTTTATTTGAAATCGCAGAGTTCTAGAAGAAATCACTCATAATAAGGTCCGTACTACTTTAAAATATTTGGAGTTCCGTACATAAGAGTATATCAGCGATCTTTTCATTCAAATATTTTTTCGTATCTGGCAGTGAATAGCAATTCAACGAAAGTTGTTCGAATGTTTGTAATAAGTCCCCACTCACGACTCGCCCTTTGCTTTGCGGCCCAATATTGTACTGCGAAAGTTGTATGCTTTGGAATGTTATATCGGCCTTTAAAAGTCAGATCTAACTTTTAAAACTCACTTTATGCCATTAGTTTTTAGAGCCCTGTTTATTAATTACCAGTATGATAAGCATCAGTTTTGAAGTGAAAAGATCAATATGTTGTTGTTGTTGTTGTCGTGTCTATGCTAGTGCAAAGATTAGAGTCCTCCAAAAGTCTTGATAACAAGGTTTGCAAGTTCTGGAGCCTGATGGCTATGGAGAATTTCGATGGGAGGTGCTCCAAATTGAAAGAGGGAGCCGATAATAGCCAGGCAGTCAAAAACATGGTCTGGAGTTAGTTGCAAATGAGGACAGTACTTGCACATGGGAAAGAATTTTATATGGGTGCGTGAGATCTTCGTGCCCTTGAAATGTCCAGTACGTAGCCTAGCTATTGTAGAGGAGAGGTTTCTTGGGCAGTTTAGATCGGGGATTGTTGCCTTGCTAAAATGCTGATTGTATACCCTGCGTCTGGCGACAGCATTCGCATCTGCACAGGTGACAGCAAAAGATCAATAATATTTCTGCTTTACTGTGTCATTACATTAAATGCTTTGGTTTCGATAAAAATAAAAGATTAACTAAATTGTCAAGAACTAAACATAAACTTTTAAAAAAGATTTTTTTAATAACAAAGCAATGCATTAATTTTAAAAGATAAGCAACTAAGTCTCATATCATTTTATAAAATACTCGTACACGAAAAGTGCAATTTCCGAAAAACCTTTAGACAATCATAAAATGTATTCATTTTAGATGAGGTGTTTACTTTTATATGATCATATTGGGTTAGATTAGGTGTATATGATTTTACATGGAAGTTAATATCTTTTAAACAGGCTGATTTTTTAAATCCTTTTATTATTCAATTTTTAATGAATTGATCCCTTACTTTAACGAAGTGAACTGTAATATTAAATCAATATATTCTCTCTTGTTTACAAAGAAAATTAATATAAACGTACGCAATACTCATATTTAATTTCATCTTGTAGAAAAGTACCTTTTAGTTTGTCGAGATATATGAAAAAAATATTTCTAAATTAAAATTTGACTTAGAAATATAAAGTCACCCCCCGATGACCGAAACGTATGAAAAGGTATCAAATGCCTTGAAAATATCGGATCAATATTCTAAAAATACACGCGTGGGACATTTTCAAGCTTTGAATTCAGTATACTAAACTTGACTTCCTCCACCCCGTACTCGGCTACCCCCCTGGTATGCCTCGGCCGCTCAGGGTATGGGTGGAAGATTGAGTATGGTATAATTTGATGAGGTTTTTTAAAAATATAAAACACGTATAGATCTATTTTCTAGTCTGACATTTATTTCCTGTGATACTCTATTAAAAATTTCTCGAAAAAAAAAATGGTTACTTAAAAATTTATTTAATTTTCAGTTTAATATACAGGGTGTTTATAAACTCCCGGACCCATTTCGATGTTTAATAACTCATAAAATAATAAAGATAGATTAAAGTTAATAGCATAAATGGTTAGATAGACTCAAAAAGTTTCATGACCCTTGTCAATGAACTTCCACGTGTGCCCCCTTCGTCGCACGGAGAATATCAAGTCGATAGTCAATTTCACGCCAGGTAGCGGCAAGCATGTCGGCATCCACAGAGGCTATTGCAGTTGTAATTCTGGCTTTTAGGTCATCAATGCTCGACACGATCCTCCTGTAAACATTGTTCTTTATAAATCCCCAAAGAAAAGAGTCCAGCGGCGTTATATCAGGCTATATGGGTGGCCAAGGAATTGGACCTCCTCGCCCAATCCATCTTCCTGGAAAATGGTCATTCAAAGAACTACGAATGATGATACCCCAATGAGGTGGCGCATCATCTTGTTGCAAAAAGACATGTGGCTGAAGCTCTTCTAGTTGTTGAAATACGAAGTTTTCCAACATGTCTAAGCATACGACTGATGAGACCGTCTTTTCTGTTAAAAAGAAAGGCCCAATGACTCGGTCGTGCATTAGTTCACACCACACATTAACCTTTAGGACATCCCTTTGCGTCTCACGGTATTCATGGGGGTTTTCAGATCCCCATATGCACACATTATGGCGATTAACAATGCCAGAAACAAGAAAGGATGCTTCGTCGGAGAACATTATGCGCTTCAGAAAA